AACTATAAAACACTGTTAAAAGAAATAGAAGAAGACACAAAGAAATGGAAAGACATCCCCTGCTCATGGACTGGAAGAATAAACATTATTAAAATGGCCATCCTACCAAAAGCAATATACAGATTCAATGCTATTCCAATCAAAATTTCAATGTCATTCTTCAAAGAAATAGAACAATTATTGATGAAATTCATATGGAATCACAAAAAAACCCGAATAGCCAAAGCTCTCTTGAAAAAAAAAGAAGGGAATGGAGGCATCACACTTCCAGTCTTCAAACTACTACAAAGCCATAATCATCAAAACTGCATGGTATTGGAACAAGAACAGACACACAGACCAATGGAATAGAATAGAACATCCAGAAATAAACCCACAAATTTATGGTCAACTAATCTTTGACAAAGGAGCAAAGAATATGCTTTGGAGCAAAGAAAGTTTGTTCAATAAATGGTGCTGGGAAAACTGGGTCGCTACATGCAAAAGAATGAAGCTGACTACTACCTAACACCATACACAAAAACCAACTCAAAATGGATTAAAGATCCAGTCAAAAAATGGGCAGAAGAGCTAAAAAGAAACTTCTCTGAAGAGGAAATGCAAATGGCCAACAGGCATATGAAAAAATGTTCAACATCACTTGTCATCAGGGAAATGCAAATCAAAACTACCATGAGATACCATCTTACACCAGTGAGAATGGCACATATTAAAAAAAAAAAAAAACTAGCAACAACAAATGTTGGAGAGGGTGTGGAGAAAAAGGAACTCTTCTGCACTGTTGGTGGGAGTGCAAACTGGTCCAACCACTGTGGAGAGCTATGTGGAGATTTCTGGACCTACTAAACATAGAGCTTCCATATGATCCAGCAATTCCACTCCTAGGTATTTACCCAAAGGACACAGAAACATCAATTCCAAAGAACACCTGCACCCCTATGTTTATAGCAGCACTGTTTACAATAGCTAAGCTTTGGAAACAACCCAAATGCCCAAAAATAGATGACTGGATCAAGAAGATGTGGTGCATATACACAATGGAATATTACTCAGCATTCAAAAAAGATAAACACATGCAATTTGCAGCAACATGGATGGCACTGGAAGGGATCATGCTCAGCGAAATAAGCCAAAAAGAAAAAGAAAAATACCGGATGGTCTCACTCATAGCAGGAATCTAGAAAACTTAAATAAGAGACCAGGAAAATGAATAACTATAAGAAAGTGAAAATCAAAATCAACAAAAAACTATGAACCAGAGACACTTTTAGGGGGGGGCGGGAGGGGAGGGATTGGGGTCAGAATGGGGGGGGCTGCAATTGTATGGGGAATATAAAAATAAAATTTATTATTTAAAAAAAATGGATTAAAGAACTAGACAGAAGACCTGAAACCATAAAATATATAGAAGGAAATATAGGCGAAACACTACGTGATTTGCACATCAAAGACATCTTTACAGACATATCACCCAACGCAGTGATAGTGAAGGCAAAGATCAACAGCTGGGACTACATCAAATTAAAGAGCTTCTGCACAGCAAAAGAGACAATAACAAAAACAAAGAGAAACCCCACCAACTGGGAGAACATTTTTGCACCCAACACTAATGATAAAGGACTGATCACAAAAATCTGCAAAGAGCTGATGAGACTCAGCAACAACAAAGAAAATAATCCAGTCAAAAAATGGGCAGAAGAGCTAAAAAGAAACTTCTCTGAAGAGGAAATGCAAATGGCCAACAGGCATATGAAAAAATGTTCAACATCACTTGTCATCAGGGAAATGCAAATCAAAACTACCATGAGATACCATCTTACACCAGTGAGAATGGCACATATTAAAAAAACTAGCAACAACAAATGTTGGTGAGGGTGTGGAGAAAAAGGAACTCTTCTGCACTGTTGGTGGGAGTGCAAACTGGTCCAACCACTATGGAGAGCTGTGTGGAGATTTCTGGACCTACTAAACATAGAGCTTCCATATGATCCAGCAATTCCACTCCTAGGTATTTACCCAAAGGACACAGAAACATCAATTCCAAAGAGCGCCTGCACCCCTAGGTTTATAGCAGCACTGTTTACAATAGCTAAGCTTTGGAAACAACCCAAATGCCCAAAAATAGATGACTGGATCAAGAAGATGTGGTACATATACACCATGGAATATTACTCAGCATTCAAAAAAGATAAACACATGCAATTTGCAGCAACATGGATGGTGCTGGAAGGGATCATGCTCATCGAAATAAGCCAGAAAGAAAAAGAAAAATACCGGATGGTCTCACTCATAGCAGGAATCTAGAAAACTTAAATACGGGACCAGGAAAAAGAATAACTATAAGAAAGAAAAAATCAAAATCAACAAACAACTATGAACCAGAGACACTCTATGGGGGGTGGGGGGCGGGGAAAGGAGGGATTGGGGTTAAAATAAGGGGGTTGTAGGGCCTCCCCGGTGGCGCAGCGGTTGAGCGCTGGGTTGCGAAGCTGCCCGCGGCCTCTGCGGCGCCGGTTCGATCCCCGGCTGCTCCCCGGCCACCGGAGGAGGGTCCCACATGGCGTGCAGACTTCTCCTGCCGCCCGCTGCTCCCCTCAGCAGTGTACTTCGGTCCTTCTGCCTGCTCTGCTCCCCGCTCTGGCTCTGGTGAATTCTCTCACCCTCCCGCGCTTCTGACTGTACCCAGTGCATGTATAAACAAAACAAACAAACCAGCAAACAAATAAATAAAGCATGCCTCTAAAAAAAAAAAAAAAAAAAAGAGAAAAAAAAAAAATAAGGGGGTTGTAATTGTATGGGGAATATAAAAATAAAATTTAAATAAAAAAATAAAATAAAATTTATAATGTAAAAAAAAAATACAGTCACAGAAAACAGTACTGTGTGTTTCATAAAGGTACATCAGATTCAAGACTACATATTTAACACCTTAGAGTGGTCGCTTTGGATGGGGAGACATGTGAGAATGCGGGATTAGGACTGTGAAAAGGGATGTTCAAGATGACTGAACTGACTCCATCTTGTGCCCGAGACTTCATCTTACTGGCCTTTTGAGTTTAAAACAAAATGACAACAAAAAAACTACTCACTGCCTGCCTGTGATATTGTGATTTATGATATGTACTTGGTCATTCAAATGACCAAAATATGTATTTTGCTGGAGTTTATATGGTTTAAAAACTTAGTCTTTCCCTTGCCTTGCAAACAGGGATGGGAAGTTTTAAACAGGTAAGGGGAACTGAAGAGTTACCTGTGCAGATAAGGGGACCAAGTGGTTGTCATTGAAACAGGGCGGTGGCCATTGAAAGCCGACCTGTGGCCATTAAAAGCAGGGGAAAATTCTAAAGGATGCGGAGATAATCAGGCCTCACAGCTAGTAGTCAGCAGGCAGCACAGATCTGACTCCTAAATCTTAGAAAACCAGCCAAGTTCAGAGTATAAAAAGTACTTCAAACTTTCTCCCTGAATGTAGGCGAAAATTCTCACCCACCCCTTGCATCACTTTGCAGGGAAATTCAATAAATCTGCCTTTTCTACTTTCTATGCTGTTTCTGCTGACTTCTTTCACCGTGGCAAGCCTGCCATTTTCTTCACACAGCACACAGCATCTCTCTCATACTTATTTGATCTCTTTTCCACATATCCTGGCTCAAACTCCCAGAAGCCCTGGAATTTCCTAGTTGAGAGTAATAAAAATCTCTTTTTATGTTCATGGGGTGACTTAGGAAGCACCAAAGGGTGGGCTCTGGATGTCAGAATCACCGGCTTTGTGATAGAGGGTTAGAAATTGCAGTTCCCCCACCCCGACTCCCCCAAGACGTCCTGGGAAGGGAGGCAGGCCAGAGGTTGACTCAATTGCCAGCGGCAAAAGATTTAGCCAATTATGGCTATGTAATGAAGCTTCCCTTTAAAAAAACAAAAAGGAGGGGCTTCAGAGAACTTTCCAGTTGGTGAATATGTGATGATCTATGTCTGAAGGGCATGAAGGCTGCGTGCCTTTTCCCCATACCTAACCCAATGCATCTCTTCCATCTGGCTGTTAATAGATTTGTATCCTTTAGTATCCTTGGAAATAGATCAGTGATCAAGTGAGTAAACAGTCTCCCAAGCAAGGTGTACACCAAGAAACTGAAACCTGTGAGTTTCACGGTTTTAGGACTACAGCCTGGACACACTGGAGCTGTGTGTTCCAGCCACCTGGAAGGGGAGCTTCTGCACACAGAGGGGCAGGTTAGGTCACACTCAGGCTTGCTCTGTGCAAATGAGGTTTCTGGTGAGTGCAATTCTGATGGGTGGAAAGTTTGTCAAGTCGTGATTGGTCAAATTTCCATCCTGGGTGGCATCTGGCACACCTGTGTGATCTCTTTTTCCTTCTATGGTGGACATGTCTGCGTGCCCAAGCACTTGTCTGGACATGCCTAGGGTACAACACTCAACAGCCCCCTGACTCTATTTAATTTACTCAGATTCTAGATAGCTCCATTTTTGTTTTTCTTTTTTTGATATTGTTTATCACCCACCTTTCGATGGGCCCCTAATGTCTGGAGGGGATCATCATGGGGACTTCCAGTCTGTAGCTGGTTGGTCAGAAGCTGGAGGGCATCATCATGGAGACTTTCAGTCTGTAGCTGGTTGGTCAGTTGCCAGCCTGGGCATTTGCATTGAAAGTAACTCCTTCTCCCCACCCAAGGGCAAGGGGCTACAGGACACAAGCCCCCCCTTCTCCATTGCATGTCAAGCAATAAAATTGTTGCTCTGCTTTACCAAACTTGGTGGTTGTGTTATTTCACTAGCAATCACCAGATGGCAGAGTCTCCAGGTTCGTGACACACTTATTTGCAAAGGAAGCATTTTGGACTAATTGTCTTCTGCTCATGTTTTGGGCTGCTGAACCCTTTGCTCTTGCTGTTTTAATTGCATCTGCTCGTTTTTTAATCTTCTAGAAATAAATTTCAGCAGATTACAGCCTTCGTTAATTTTAAACTTAAAGAAAGGTCATTTTTATTTCATTTTAAGACACCTAGGGTGGAAGGAGAGGAAAGTCAATGGGATTCACTTGTCATCTCCCTCCGTTTCCCCCAGTACAGTTCATTTCAAAGGCTTGAATGTTAGGAAAAGAGGAAATACATTACTAGGACCCTCGAGTAGTGCAGAGGCAAGAAACAGAGGAAAGGTGAGAAATCACAGTGCCAAGTTTGGGGAGGTGGTGAGGCAATGGGAGAGTCCAGAGAGAAGGAAAGGAGGCAGAGTTAGAGGAGGTGCTAGGCTTGACTTTTGCCTACAGAGTGAGGACCTAACCAGATGCAGCAAGACCTTCCATGGGTGGCTATTTTGGAGTGAGTGGGGAAGGGGCCATGGGGGGCCAGTCAGCTCCAGTCCAGATGGTGGATCTCAGATGCAGGATTATCACAGGTGTAGTCAGGAGCTGGAAGTTGTCGTGGGCACAGGGCTGTGGTGCTCAACGGCTAGAGGTGGCTCCCAGTAGCTGGAAAGGGAAGGAGATTTTGTCATTCAAGGTCCTAGGATGAGGCTAAAGGCACCTGAAAGATCGGGGATCTGGGCTGGACAGATGCCATCAGAACCTGTCACTGCTGCCCCCACAGCATCTTCTTGACCCTGAGGGGGAGACTGAGGAGGAAATTCATAAATTGAAAGGAACCCTTTCCCTACCTTCTTTGCCTCCCCTTGTTCCCACCATACCTGTTACTGACCTTCCTTCCCTGCTCCTCTGTCATCTACTTCCAGTCCTGTCCCTTCCTGACCCTTCCCTTCTCCCCCTGCAAACCTTCTCCCTGACTCTCAGATTTCTCCTCCCACCCTCCTTACCCTCAGAATGGAGGGTGAAGCTAAACCTGGCATAGGGACGCTGTCTTTTCTCCAAAATATATTTCTTTTGAATGGGGCAGAGAACATCGAAGTAAAATGCAAACATTGCAAGAAATAATGAATATTAAAAGTAGACTGTTACAATTTTCCCCACCTCTGTGCTCTCCAGCTCCCTCTTCCTGGCCATCTTTCCTGGGACAGAAGCTGTCTCCAACTCCATGTCCCCCTCATCCCACTCCCATCAAACCTTCCCACTCACCTGGACCCCCAGCCCAGGAGCACAGCGCCAGGACCTTGGCCACAAGGAGTCCACACAACATGGTGACCAAAGGCGTGCTGGCAGCTGAACCACGGGAGAGAAGGAAAGTGAAATTCCTGGAGAGAGAGAAGGGAGGGTAGACCTGGGCAGAGATGTCGTCTGCTCCTGCAGGCTCCCTGAGCCAGGCCTCTGGCTGGAGCTTATGTGATTAAGGACCACCCTGAACTGACCATGCAGGGGCAATGGATACAGGAATAAGGGATGGAGGCCCCGGGGACCTCTCTGGGCCTTGAAGAAAGCCCCTAGTTGAGAATGCAGGAGTCTTGAATGAAGAAAAGCCTGGCTAAGGGAAGAGAGAGGGATCAGAGCTCAGTAGGATGGGAGGGCCAGGGCCAGGGGAATAGGGACAATCCCACAAAGTGACAGAGGATGGGCCATCAGGCTGGGCCATCAGCAAGAGGCTACAGAAAAGAATGGCAAATTTGCTGGGAGGATGGGCATTTTCAAACAAATATTTATTCAGGATTTATTTATTTAAAAACATTTTCTTGTGAAGGTATAGTTATTGCTTTCTTTTCCTTCAATTTGTTGTTTAGTTCTATCTTTTATATTGACCAGTCTTGTTGAAAGTAAGTCTACCTTATTAGACTTTTCAAAGAATGAATTATGGATTTTCTTGATTTTCTTTTAAAAAATTACCAGGGCCTCCCTGGTGGCGCAGGCAGTTGAGTGCAGCTCTGTGAAGCTGTCCACTGCCTCTGCAGTGCAGGTTTGATCCCAACAGGCCGGTGAGATACCCACATGGTGTGGCAGACCTCTCTTGTCTCGCCCGCTGCTCCCCTCAGTAGTGTATTTCAATCAGTCTGCCTGTTCTATTCCCCACTCTGTCTCGGTGAATCCTCTCACCCTCCCACACATCTGGCCTGTACCCTGGTTCTTGTATAAATAAATAAATATTTAAAAAAAGATCATTTCCATTTTTTAAAAATCACCATTATTATTTTCCTCCTTTATATTTCCTTGGACTTGTGCTGCTCACTTCACATATTCTTAAATTGAGTGCTTATCTCGCTACATTTTCCAGAACTATTGCTGGTCAGAGATGCCCTGAGTGTTTTTCTTCACCTGAGCCTGTTCCTTGTGTCTCTGCTGTAAAGCATGGGACTCTGGAGAGGAATGGGGAGGGGGTGGGTAAGTGTTGCCCTAAGAATGATTATCATTCTTTTTCTGTTGAGATCTGTGTTCTTGGGAAGGGTGAGGGTTGGAGGACGCTTGACCTTGTGTCTTTATCAATAGATTCCCATGTACACACACACACACACACACACACACACACACACATACACACACAATACTATGCAATTGTGTTCTTTTATGGAGATATAATTCTTATTCTTTTGTAGGTGATCTGAAAAGCTTAAGAATTTCTCTTTGTCTTTGATAGGTACATTTTACATGTGGTTTTAGGGGTGTGTGTGTGTGTCCATGTGTGTTTGTATTTATGTGTGTATATGAGTGTGTACTTCTTATTTTCCCCCTCTTGACAATGGGTAAGTCTTTTAGATGTGTGATCTTTCCTTTTTCCATAATTCTGAGATTTGTATTGACTTTTTCTTCAAATACATCTTCCTTTCCATTTTCTCTCTTACAGGGATTCTTCATAACCATGTGTCAAGACATCTACTGTCCATGCATTCATCTCCATGAGTCATTCACAGCTTCTGGTGTGCCTTGTGACCTCCTAGAGACCCATGACCTAGACTGGTGCAGTCTGTTTCCTCAGTGAAGAGGATATTTGATGGTCTCAAGACCCATAATGGCAAGAGTCATGAGCAGAAATAAAGTTTTCCCTCACTTGTTTCTTGAGGAGGTCTCCCGCCAACATCAACCCAAGGCTAGAGTCACCACTCAGTGCTCAAGGGACAACATAAACTTTACTCCCACATTGTTTGAGTTCCATTTGTTCTCATCCCAGAAATCCATGTTTAAATTAGTTTTTAAGTAATTTCTTCAAAGTTAATAACTTGTATCTTCTTCCCCATCTTCTCTCCCTCTGTATCTGCACCTAGAGGGAGTCCTCTGCATTGTATCATGCCCCAACCCTCTTTAAAAGTATGTCAGGTAGTTGCACTTTAACAGTTTCACCATACACTAAATATTAGCTGCAAGACAATGAATTTTGTCTTAAAAGAAAAAGAACTAATTGACTGACAGTTTGATTTCATTTCTCCACTCACTAATGGATCACTCACTTTAATGTGTTTAGTCTGTCAGTTTGGTTTTGTTTCTCCACTGATGAAATAAGAATCCAACTCTTGCAAATTGATATATAACTATTTTCTAATACAGTGCAGTGGCCCTTGAACAACACAAAGGTTAGGGTACCTAGGGGCGCTAACCCCCACACAGTAAAAACTCTGAGTGCAGCTTATAGTTGACCTTCCTGATCAGCAGGTTTACCATCCACAAATTCAACAACACACTAAGTTGGTTGAATTCTTGAATTTTGAACTTACAGATATAAAAAAATCCTCATAATGGACCATACAATTCTAACCTGTGTTTTTCAAAGGTAAACTTCATATGCAGTCTGGAAGAATGAACACAAAGAATTGAACAAGGAAATAAACAGAACCACAAAATTGTGTATAAAATAATATAGTAACAGACTTTCACTCTAAATGTAAATGTACAGAACTCATCAAAACATAGGGTATCTAGCTGGATAAGGAAATAGAATCCAACCTTCTTCTGCCTCTAGAAAATGCTCCTGACTTCCAAGGATAAGCATAGTCTGCAAGTAAAGGATTAGAAAAAAAAAAATTCTAAAGTGAATGGGACCCAAAGGAAGGTAGGGACAGTTATCCTATATAAGATAAAATATACTTCCGACTAAAAAAGGTAACAAGAGAGAGGGATGAACACTACATAATGATTAAGGGAACAATATATCAGGAAGACAAACACCCATAGATATACACTTACACCAAATGACAGGCCACCAAAATATATTAGGCAATTACTAGCAACTCTGAACAAACATTGAAGAAAATAGGTATGTGACTGGAGACTTCAGCCTACTCTCACCAATAGACAGATCAACTAGTTAGAAAATAAGTAGGGACACAGTTGCCCTAAGGAAAGAATTAGGCTGTGTGGCTCTAATAGACAATTATAGGGCACTACACCCTAAAAAAGCCAAAAACATATCCTTCAAGTGCACATGGGTTTTTGTTCAGGACTGACCATGTATTGGGTCACAATAGAAGCATCAAAAAATTCATGAAGGGCCTGCCCTGGTCACGCTGCGATTGAGGGCCAGGCTGCAAAGCTGCCTGCAGCCTCTGCAACACCAGTTTGATCCCCGGCCACTGGCGAGGGTCCCACATGGTAAGACAGACCTCTCCTGCTGCGCACACTGCTCCCCTCAGCAGTGTATTTCGTCGGTCTGCCTGTTCTGTTCCCCGTTCTGTCTCTGGTGAATCCTCTCACCCTCCCACGCTTCTGACTGTACCCAGTGCTTGTATAAATAAATAAATAAATCTTTAAAAAAAAATTCATGAAGATTGAAATCATACCAAGCATCTTCTCTGACCATAAAGATATCAAATAAGAACTGAACCACAGACCACCACATGCAAAAGAATGAAACTAGACCACTACCTCTCACCATGCACAAAAATCAACTCAAAATGGATAAAAGATCTGGATATAAGACCTGAAACCATAAAATATATAGAAAAAAAACCTAGGTAAAATACTACAAGACATACATCTCAGTTACATCTTTAAGGACTCATCACCCAAAGCAAAGAAAGTCAAGGAAAAGATAAACACCTGTGATTACATCAAAATTAAAAGCTTCTGTACAGCAAAAGAGACATTAACCAAAACAAAGAGACTCCATACAACTGATAAGGGACTGATCACAAAGATATACAAAGAACTTACATGACTCAACAAAATCAAATTAAAAAATCCAGTCAAGAAATGGGAAGAAGAACTTAAAAGACACTTCTCCAAAGAGGAAATGCAAATTGCCAAGAGGCATATGAAAAAATGTTCAACATCCCTTATAATCAAGGAAATGCAAATCAAAACCATAATGAGATAACCCCTTACACCAGTAAGAATAGCACATATCAAAAAAACAGGCAACAACAAATGTTGGTGAGGATGTGGTGAAAAAAGAACTCTCCTACATTGCTGGTGGGAGTGCAAACTGGTCCAACCACTGTGCAAAGCTCTGTGGAGTTTCCTCAGTTTACTAAAAATGGAGCTACCATATGACGCGGCAATTCCACTCCTGAAGGATCTACCCGAAGGACACAAAAACATTGATTCAAAAGAATACCTGTGCCCTTATGTTTATTGCAACACTATGTATAATAGGTAAAACCTGGAAGCAACCCAAATGCCCAAAAAGAGATGACTGGATCAAGAAGATGTGGCATTTATACACAATGGAATATTATTCAGCAATCAAAAAAGATAAACTCATGCCATTTGCAGCAACATGGATGGAGCTAGAAGGAATTATGCCCAGTGAAATATGTCAGAAGGAAAAAGAAAAATATCGCATGGTTTCACTTATAGGAGGAACATAGGAGATCCAAATAACACATCAGGGGAAAAAATATTAACAATTCAAAACACAACACAACAAAACAAAACCAGACAATTATAAACCAGAGACATCCTTCAAGGGAGGAAGAAGGAGAGGAATCAGAGGGAGAGGGATGGGGGGGGGGCAGGGAGAAGCACAGGGGACTGTGGTGATGGTGCACAGGTGCTTTGGTGAAAGAAATTCTATGGGGACTACACCTGGGGAGGGGGGGAAGCAAACATTGTTTAAAAATGAACAATGATGCAAAAAATATATAAATAAAAAGAAATTTTAAAAAATAAAAGACTGTTAAAAAATAAAATAAGATTACAATATATAAAAAAAAGAAATTAACCATAGAAAGAAGACAGGGAAATCCTCTAATATGTACAGATTGAACAACACACTACTAAGAGACTACTGGATCAATAAGGAAATCAAAGAAGAAATTGAGATGAATTATAATGAGGACATGCAGGAACCAGCTGGAGAACAAGGCTGAGAGACGGAACCAAAAGAATTGAGAGAAACACGATAGAGTTTAAGAAAAGTGGAACCAGGAGATGCAAGGCTCCACTGCACAAGAGCCCCAAGTCTCTGGTGCACCTCATTTTCATTGAGACAAAGCGCCCCCCGGCCACCTTGGTTAGTTACAAGACAATGATTCATTCTCTTAGGATTCAGCATTATTCTGGCACACCTTCACCACCAAGGCTCTGCAGTATCAGGTTGTTCTGTTCCCATGCTTCTTTCTCCCACAGTCTTAGATTTGCTGATAACAAGGAAGGACATCATGGTCTGTATAGAGGCCAGCTTTCTGGCCCATGATGACCAGCATTCCAGTCATGACCTCAATGAACCTCTTGTCTCAGCATTGCAGGTTCCACAATGTCTCAGCATTGTGTCCTCAATAAGGACACAACCTTCCAAAACTTATGGGATATGGCAAAAGCGTGCTAAGGGGAAAGCACATAGCAACATGGGACCAAATAAACAAGAAGATAAAACAATTTAGTCTCTCATATTAAGGAATTAGAAAAAGAACCAAAAATCAATGAAACCAAAAGTTGATTCTTTGAAAAATAAACAAAATAGACAATCCTTTAGCTAAGCTCACCAAGAAAAAAAGGGAGAAAACTCAAATAAGCAGGATCAAAGATGAAAGAGAAGTTCCAACAGATGTTACAGAAGTCCAGAGGATAATTAGAGATCACTATGAACATGTATAAGCAAACAAGTTCAACAACATAGATGAGAGGGACAAATTTTTAGAATCATACAATCATCCAGGGCTGAATAGGGAAGAAATAGAAAAATTGAAAAACAACAATCACAAGCAAGGAAATTGAAACAGTAATCAAAACTCTCCCAAAAAACAAAAGTCCAGGATCAGATAGCTTCACAAGCAATTTCTACCAAACTTTCAAAGGTTAGCTAATACCTACCCTGCTCAAACTTTAAAAAAACTGAGAGAAGGAATACTTCCAAACACATTTTATGAGGCCAACACCATTCTACTATCAAAACCAAACAAAGACAACTCAAAAAAGAAAACTACAGACCAACCTCCCTAATGACAGATGCAAAAATCCTCAATCAAATCTTAGCAAACTGAATCCAACAATTCATTAAAAGGATTAAACATCACAACCCGGTGGGATTTATTCCAGGGACACAAGGAAAATCTGAAAATCAATCACCACATCAGCAAAATAAAGATAAAAGCCACACTATCAAATCAAAAGATACCAAGAAAGAATTTAGTAAAATTCAACATCTGTTTGAGATGAAACCCCTCAAAAAAACTTGGGATAAATGGAACATATCTTAACATAATAAAAACCATATGTGACAAACCCATACTCAGCATCATTCTCAATGGTGAAACCTGATAGCCTTTCCACTAAGATCTGCTGTAAGACAAGGATGTCCACTCTCTCCACTACTATTCAACATAGTATCGGAAGTGATAGCTAGAGAAATTAGGAAAGAGAAAGGTATAAAAGGAATCCAAATCGGGAAAGAAGAAGTAAAGTTATCATGTGCAGGTGATACCATAATACACATTGTGATCCTCTCCCTCCCCCTTCCCTGCTGAGTGTCTCCCATTTATAGTTTGACTGCTAGTCTCAAAGACAAACTTTAAAACCAACTCTTGGAAGCTGCCCATAGATCTCTGGCTTTCAGAGGGGTAGGGGAATGAGGGAGAAATGGGGGAGTGCGGAGAGAGCACAACTGACTATAGTGGAGAACTGTGGGTGCTTTGGTGGTGGGAGTGTGCAGTGGCTGCACCTGACGGGAAATCCTATAGGGTCAGAACACTGGCAAGGAGGTTGTAGGATAAATGGTTTTCAGGCTTTTCTGCCCCTCCCACCATCCTAATGGTGGGGGCACCTGCAGTTGTTACATTGTTGCAAACTATCTTATTTACTTCCGTGGGCCATGGGAGGCGTATTGAGACAGTCACCAAGAGAAACAGAAGCAGTAAAGAAGCAGGAGGAGAGAGAAGGGGTGAAAGAAAGGCAGAAGAAAGAAGCCAGAGAAACCCAGAGTGAAGACTTGCCAAGGGCCTGGAGGCCTCACGGCCTCCTGGCATCCCTGCCTGCCATGTACCTGGTTGCTGCAATGAATGTAAAGCGCAATAAAAGCCTGGGAAAGCCACTGAGGGCTCCAGGACTCTCCTTTACCCAGTCTGCTTGGATCATAGAAAACCTGCACGGTGCCCATCCTGCCCCTACAGAGGTAATACAATGGTAATTTAATAGCCATTTAAAAAGTAAAATAAAAATATGCAGACTGACTTTATGCTTTGATGTCATACTTCCAACAAATTCGGTTACCAAAAAAATGCAAAAATAATGTGCTATACTGTGAGCGACTGAATGACTAGGAAGACATTGGGTCAGATACAATTCACAAAAGAAAATTACTTCTCTACACAGCCTGCCATTAATCTAAATAGTATAAAATGCATTTGGATATTCTGTCTCTTTAATTTTGTTATTAACTGTTCGTATTTCAGTATGTGCTTTAAATGTCTCCCTACTCAAAATTGCCTTACAGCCAATAGTCATGGGGTAACATTGTTATCATGTCCTTATTAAATGTCCCCCTTCCGTTTTTCATTCTCTTCTCTTTTACTGCAAAAGAAAATAAGCTCACTACTCATGGAATTGCCATGAATCTCTACACACATGAACAAAGTCACATTTCATTATGTCCTTTTGAATGTCTTTCTGCGTTCATTCTTTGTTCTTTGGTGGCAAAATTATCTTAAGGTCAATTAATCATACAGCAAAGTTGCTTCCATGAATTGTTGATAATGAAATAATCTCACAGCCTTGTAAAAAATCCTTGTGTACTCAGAGGCTGCATAAGCAAGCTGGCCCTCCCTGCGGGGAGCCCTCCCACCCAGTGTGACCCCCGACCTACCTGGGCTCAGAGGCATGGGTGGAAGGTGGGCCGAAAGTCCCCTCTGGAGAAGTCACCGGAACTATGGAAGAAACAGTGAAGATAATGAGGAACAGAAAATAAAGAACAGAATTGTCCTCCAAATCATGAGAGGATGTAGAGAGGGGACAGAGTCATCTCATAGGGTCTCTCAGGTGGGGGAGATTAAGGCCTATGATCTTTATAACCAACTACAACTCAGGCCAGCCATGAAACTAAAGGGGAGCAGTTTCTCCTTGAGCTGGGAAATGAGGGGCAGGGTTGAGGTGTAAGTTAGGTTCCTTCAGGACTTCTCTTGGGAAGCTGATCATATCACATTATACACATATTTCCAAGCGAGCCCAGGATGTAACTCCCCCACCAGCCCAGGCCACAGAGGTTCATCCCCCAGAGGCAGGCTTCCTAGTTCCCTCTTCCTTGAATCTGAGGTTATCTAAGTTGCCAGACGACCCTCCTTCCTGCCCTCATGAGACCCCAGACCTACCTGTAGTTGATGGAAGCCAAGTAGAGGTCATCACAGGAGAAGTGGTGGTGGCTAAAGAGATAAGAAACAGATGAGTGTCCAGAAGCCCAGGGGAGAAAATGAGGTCTGGCCCCAAGGCTGCGAGAGGAAACAGGGGACATAGAGACAGTTCTTCTGGGCCCCTTGGGCAGAGGGTGAACTGTTCCTAAGTTCTGCACACTGGAGCTGCTGGGGTATGTAATAAGCAAGAGACACAAGGTCACAGAGAGACTCCAGGGCCTGTGTCGCAAGCCCTGGTAGCCTGCCCCACCAAGAGGGGCCAGAACTGGCAGAGTGAAGCAGAGTAGAGAGCCCTTTTCTGGGGACAGGGGCCCTCACTCGCCTCAGAGCAGAGCAGACGACCTGGTGGGGTCTGGTGCAATGGGGACCAGAAAATGGCTGAGTGACATTTCCCCCCAGAGTCAGGGAGGAAGGGAGATATTTCCTCAAGAAAGAAGCTCACCTGGAGATACTATCAGATTGAATTTTTTGAAAATAGTGATTTTGTTTGAAGAAGCGTTGTAGCTTCCACACCAGTAAATTCCTGTGTCATTTTCCTTCATCTGAATTGTGAGTATGGTGACGATGCCGATGTCTGGTGCATCCCAGATCACGTGTCGTGAGTCCTGAGCGGAGGCCCGGGGCTTGGAGCTGGTAACCACTCTATTACACCAACCTGGTTTTGTCTGGAGACACCAGGATTTAGGCCTGTAGGGCCCCTGGTCAGGAGTGTACACACATTGCACAGTAAATGTATCCCCAACCACTCCATGAAACACTTCAGGCGCAGATTCTGCCCAGGAACCTAGATAAAAGGTCATCAGGTCAGAGCCTGGCTGGACCCAGCCATCCACTCCCAGGACTAGGAAAGGAGGCAGAGAACAACTTCTGATGCTCCCACAGAGAACATGGTTCCCCAAAGCCAGTCCTCTCGTCACAGAGCCACCCTTCTCCCTGTGGCACCCTTAGCCTTCACCTCCCCATCTCACCTGAGGCCAAAAGTACCAGTAGGACAGGGGGCAGGAACAGATGTGGGGTTCCCCAAGCCATGTTACCCACAATCTGCTTCTGATGGTGGAGACGAGAAAAGAGGTAGTCTCTGAGGAGTGGACACCAGCAGCAGGACTTGAGTCTGCTCCCGCTCCCCAGCATCAGAGCTTGAAGAACTGAAGAGGGGATTGGGGAAGTGGCAGGCATGTGGGGGTGGGGGGGTGTGAGAAGGGGAGGGCAGCAGGGACTGGATTCCTTGGTAGGGGGAGCTATAGAAGGGAGGGTTCCATTCATCTCCATGTCTTCAGTTCTCACTTCCTAATGATGCTCAATCAGTGGTCAAAGGAGCACAAGCATGGATAGAATGAGGAAAACTCCTTTCATGCTAACAATGTGTGTGTAAAAATGTGCAGGCAAAAAATAGTCATAGCTGGACAACCTAAGCAATGAAATTATGGGACATGGGAATATAATCCAAAGTATCAAATAAAATATCCACAAATCCATGCTGACATAAATAAAAGATTGAATAAATAAGTGGGGAAGACTAAAAAATTCTCCAGTTAAATTCCAAATAATTTATGTATTTATTCTGCCTGCAAGGACAGGAAACATAACTTCCCTTCCCATAACACTGGGGTGTCTAGGGCCTCCCTGGTGGCGTAACGCTTGAGCGATGGTTTGCAAAGCTGCCCGCAGCAGCCTCTGCAGTGCCGGTTCTATGCCCTGCTACCGGGCGAGGATCCCACATGGCGCGCAGACCTCTCCTGCCGCCCGCTGCTCCCCTCAGCAGTGTACTTCATCAGTCTGCCTGTTCTGCTCTCCCCTCTGATTCTGATGAATTCTCTCACCCTCCCGCGCTCTGACTGTACCCAGTGCTTGTATAAATAAATAAATAAATAAATAAATAAATAAATAAATAAATAAATAAATAAATAAATCTTTTAAAAAATGGGGTGTCTATATTGACCACATCTTCTTGATCTACTCATCTGTTTGGGGAACTTAGGTTGTTTTCATGATTCAGCTCTAATAAATTGTGCTGCAGTAAACATGAGTGCAAGTATCCTTTTGAATTAGTGTTCTTGAATTTTAGAGGTAGATGCCTAGGAGTGGAATTACCGGTTTGTATGGCAGATACACTGTGACTGTTTTGAGACACCTCCATACCACTTTCTATAAGGTCTGGACCAGTCTGCATTTCCACCAGCAGCACAGGGGCATTCCCTTTTCTCCACATCCTTGCCAGCACTTGTTTCCGGTCTTCTCAATCTGGACCATTCTCACTGGTATCCCATCTTGGTCTTGCATTTCCCTAATGATAAGCGATAGTGAACGTTTTTTCATGTGCCTGTTTACGGTCTGTATGTCTTCTTTGGAGAAGTGTCTGTTTAGTTCTTCTGCCATTTTTTGATTGGGTTGTTTTGTTTTTGTACAGTTGTTTGAGTTCTTTGTAGATCTTCAATATCAGTCCTTGTCAGATCTATGGTGTACAAATATTTTCCACCATTCAGTAGGGTGTCTTTTTTAGTTATGGTTTAGTTAGAAACCATTTAGTTATGGTTTCTATTGCTGTGTGGAAGCTTTTTAGTTTGACATAGTCTCAAAACCACTAATTCAAAAGGAGACTTGCACTCCTATGTTTATTGCAGTACAATTTACTGTAGCTAAATTATGGAAACAACCTAAGTATCCCAAAATAGATGAGTGGATCGAGTAGATATGGTATATATACACAATAGAGTATTACTCAGTGATCAAAAAAGATAAGCTCATGCCACTTGTGGCAACATGGATGGAGCTAACAGGGATAATGCTAAATGAAAGTAGTTAGAAGGAAAAAGATAAATACTGGATGATGTCACTAATATGTGGAATACAGAGGGACTAAGAGTCAGATAAAGATAAGCTTAAAAACTAACCTTTGACAACTAACTATCGAAATGAAGTATCCAGAGGGGTTAAGAACAAAGAGGGAAGAAAACAAAATGGACAATGGTGGTGGACTCCGGGCAATTGGATAATGGATGCAATACCTGATGTGGGTAATACCTGATGGGGGGATCCAAATATTACCTCAAATAACTATAAATAAATTAATTAAAGAAAAACAAAATTAGCAAAAAAAGAGAAATTGAAAATTGTTTAGAAGTATAATTTTCACTCATTATATTTAAGGAAGATTTGTGATTGCAGATTAATTATTACTAAATGTGTATAATATTATTCATTTATTATTAAGGAACAATCCAAATTAATTGTAAGATATTACTGAAAGGGAAAACTAGGTGTGGGTAAATGGGAACTCTGTAATGTTTTCACAACTTTTTGGAAATCTGTAAGTATTCTAAAATAAAAGGTTTACAAAGAAGTGTAGAGACCAATAGAACCTGTTTGTAAATACTTAATAACTGACAAAGAAAAATTTTTATTTTAATTTGGGGGTTATATTTTTGTACATGTTCCACTCATCCTCCACCAAACCACCCGTGCCCAACCACATCTTCCTCCCTCCCCACTCCGCCCTCCGTCCCCTCTGTTCCCTCTGCTAACTGTTATATTCTTTCACTGAGTTCAAGGTTTATTCCTACTATGTATGGCTTGTGTGTGGTTTTGGTTATTTATATTCCACAGATGAGTGAAACCATCCAACACCTGCCCCAAATGCGACTATTCCATCTTTAGTTCATAGCTGTGTAGTACTCCATTGAGTATATGCTCCATTCTCCTGTTGGGTTGGTTCCATGACCTGGCAATTGTGGACAATGCTGCTATTCACACAGGTGCAGATAAATCTTTTCATATTAGAGTTTTGATATCCTTTGGATAAATACATGATAGAGGTCTTACTGACATGATCCAATAATTTCCATTTTTATTTTCTTGAAAAATCCCCATACCATTTTCCACAGGTATTGCACCAAGTTGCATTCCCACCAATAGTGGGTGAGAGCTCCTTTATCACCGCAGCCTTATCAACATAACTTAAATTCTGTGTCTGAAGTCCTTTTTTGAACTGGAGTTTGCTCTCTCACTTTTAACAAAACATGTCTGTCCATTTTTTCCTCTCCCTTAGTCTTTTGTTGTTGACTCATTATTTTTGATCATGCTTCTGGTGTTGGATTGCTGTCATTTTGCTCAAGAATTTGTGCTTCATTTTTTTCTTTTCTTGTAGAAGAACTTTCAACTCTTTTTTTGAAGGGCAGTTCTGGTGGTGGTATACTCCAGTAGCTTCTGTTTGTCTGGGAAAACCTTTATTTCACCTTCATACTTAAATAACTTTCCAGAGGGCCTCCCCGGTGGCGCAGTGGTTGAGCACTGGGTTGCGAAGCTGCCCACAGCCTCTGCAGCGCTGGTTGGATCCCTGGCTGCTGGGTGAGGGTCCCACATGGCACGCAGACTTCTCCTGCCACCCGCTGCTCTCCTTAGCAGTGTACTTTGTCAGTCTGCCTGTTCTGCTCTCTGCTCTGACTCTGGTGAATTCTCTCACCCTCCTGGCTTCTGACTGTACCCAGTGCTTGTGTAAATAAATAAATAAATCTTTTTTTAAAAATTGATAACTTTCCAGAATAGAGGCACAAGCTGTTCTACCAGTGATGGGGTAACTTCAGTGTGTTACAAAAAGATCCCAACACAGCAAGGGTCAACCCTTCCTGCAAAGGAGTTGGGCCAGGGGAGCAAAGGAAACAAAAGTCCTTATCAACCAAAAGGGAGAAGCTTTGAGTCTGAGGTTTCCATGGAGAGTGTGGGGATGAGTGGGGGGAATTCTGTCTTCCTATCCTTTCATCCTTTCCACCTGCCTGGGTCTGTGAGGAATGATAGAGGACAGGGTTCAATGAGATTAAGTGTGACACCAGTGCCTCCAAGTAACCCAATTTTCCCTCCCTCTGACCTTCCCTTACTTCTGGAACAGAGGTCATAAGATGCCAAGATTGCACAAGTTCCTCTAGGAGTACCATCTCTACGTCTCTGGGAGAGCACCCTCCCTTAGCTTGCCTTGGGTGGAAATCGCTATCCCCCCACCACCACCCAGCTCCTCCTTGCCTTCCCAGCTCTAGATTCCCAGGCTGGGAGCTGTGCCCACTGGGGATTCAATAGGTGAGAGTCCTATTAACCAGTGTCTCAGTACCAGCCCCAGGGAAAGTGTTGTCCTTTCTGCACCCTGAAGTGCTGAAGGCACCATCAGAACTATGAAAAATTCTTTCAAGATTTATTTATTTATGCATCCAAGAACTGGGGTGTAGGCCAGAGGTGTGGGTGAGGGTTGAGAGGATTCACCAGAGACAGAGTGGGGAGCAGAACAGGCAGACTGAATGAAACACACTACTGAGGGGAACAGTGGGCAAGACAGGAGAGGTCTGCTATGGCTTCTGGGTCAGCTCCCTGGCTGGGGATCAAACTCATACTACAGAGGCTGCGGATAGCTTCATAGTGATGAGACTTAACCCCTTGTGCTACCTGGAAAAATTCTTTTTTAAAAAAAATTTTATTTTAAATATTTCATTTTATATTCTTACATCATTTTTCATTTTTGCACAATGTATGCATTTTCATTTTGGTTATATTCCCCATACAATTGCACCCCCCTTATTTTGACCCTTATCCTTCCTCTCCCTGCCCCACTCCTCCCCGTAGTGTGTCTCTGGTTTATAGTTGCTTGTTGATTTTGATTTTTTCTTTATTATAGTTAGTCTTTTTCCTGGTCCCTTATTTAGGTTTTCTAGATTCCTGCTATGAGTGAGACCATCCGGTATTTTTCTTTTTCTTTCTGGCTTATTTTGCTGAACATGCTCCCTTCCAGCTCCATCCATGTTGCTGCAAATTACATGAGTTTATCTTTTTAATTGCTGAGTAACATTCCATTGTGTAATTCTTTACATAAATTCAGAGTCCTAGGACAGCTTTTCTGCTTTTTTAGCTTTTTTAGGAAATTTAGCTTTTCCTCTTATATGACTGGTATTTCCTCTTCTGAGTGAGCTGCTTTCTCAATCTTCACTGTCTTTCTGTAAAAAAAAAAAAAAAAAGCCCCTTTTTCTACCTTCTGTAGCTGTCACACCTGTGAGCTACATGCATGGGTCTCATGAGGGAACTGTCATTCAAGGAGTGTCGAGGACACCCAGGCTGACACCACACAAGTCATCAAAGGAATCTGAGGCTTT